CCTGCTGCCGGCCGCTTCTGGGGTGCAGTGCAGTCTGCAGTGCCCGGACAGGCAGGGAGCTGTCTTAGCCCCCACTGCTCACTGGATCCCCTGCAGCAAGGAGCCCCAGCGCTGGGTCATGCCTGTCGTTTGCAAACCGCTGGTCTAGGCCCCGTGGCCCCGTGGTAAAGCTTCGTTCCCACTGCAGTCGCTGGGCGAGCCCAGCAGCCGGGACAGAGGAGTCCTGCTCCCCACCCCAAGGTAGTGTGACCTTGCTGGAAGAACAGAGAGGCAGTGAGTTCCCTGTTTCTCCTCCGCCCCTCCCTGCTGCGCTGGGATGTGCCCCTAGAGGAGAGGTGACTCAGTGTGCATTCCCAGCCAGAGTTCATGCTTCACAGCAGTCTCCTCAAGCCGCATCATTCACGAAGCAAGACGCCCTTCTGCTGCCTTGGCGTACGCAGCTCGTGCCAGACGGCTCTAAATCACTGGTGCTGAAGCCGGTCGGCTGCTTCTCTGTCTAATGCAGGGTTACTCAGCACGCCGCCCCCGACCACATGCCTGTGGCTTGTTGATTTGGGTTTACGTGGGGCTCAACACACAGCCCCCGGCCACATGCGGCCCACAGCCCGTTGGTTTGGGTTTACGTGGGGCTCAACACACAGCCCCCGGCCACATGCGGCCCACAGCCCGTTGGTTTGGGTTTACGTGGGGCTCAACACACAGCCCCCGGCCACATGCGGCCCACAGCCCGTTGGTTTGGGTTTACGTGGGGCTCAACACACAGCCCCCGGCCACATGCGGCCCACAGCCCGTTGGTTTGGGTTTACGTGGGGCTCAACACACAGCCCCCGGCCACATGCGGCCCACAGCCCGTTGGTTTGGGTTTACGTGGGGCTCAACACACAGCCCCCGGCCACATGCGGCCCACAGCCCGTTGGTTTGGGTTTACGTGGGGCTCAACACACAGCCCCCGGCCACATGCGGCCCACAGCCCGTTGGTTTGGGTTTACGTGGGGCTCAACACACAGCCCCCGGCCACATGCGGCCCACAGCCCGTTGGTTTGGGTTTACGTGGGGCTCAACACACAGCCCCCGGCCACATGCGGCCCACAGCCCGTTGGTTTGGGTTTACGTGGGGCTCAACACACAGCCCCCGGCCACATGCGGCCCACAGCCCGTTGGTTTGGGTTTACGTGGGGCTCAACACACAGCCCCCGGCCACATGCGGCCCACAGCCCGTTGGTTTGGGTTTACGTGGGGCTCAACACACAGCCCCCGGCCACATGCGGCCCACAGCCCGTTGGTTTGGGTTTACGTGGGGCTCAACACACAGCCCCCGGCCACATGCGGCCCACAGCCCGTTGGTTTGGGTTTACGTGGGGCTCAACACACAGCCCCCGGCCACATGCGGCCCACAGCCCGTTGGTTTGGGTTTACGTGGGGCTCAACACACAGCCCCCGGCCACATGCGGCCCACAGCCCGTTGGTTTGGGTTTACGTGGGGCTCAACACACAGCCCCCGGCCACATGCGGCCCACAGCCCGTTGGTTTGGGTTTACGTGGGGCTCAACACACAGCCCCCGGCCACATGCGGCCCACAGCCCGTTGGTTTGGGTTTACGTGGGGCTCAACACACAGCCCCCGGCCACATGCGGCCCACAGCCCGTTGGTTTGGGTTTACGTGGGGCTCAACACACAGCCCCCGGCCACATGCGGCCCACAGCCCGTTGGTTTGGGTTTACGTGGGGCTCAACACACAGCCCCCGGCCACATGCGGCCCACAGCCCGTTGGTTTGGGTTTACGTGGGGCTCAACACACAGCCCCCGGCCACATGCGGCCCACAGCCCGTTGGTTTGGGTTTACGTGGGGCTCAACACACAGCCCCCGGCCACATGCGGCCCACAGCCCGTTGGTTTGGGTTTACGTGGGGCTCAACACACAGCCCCCGGCCACATGCGGCCCACAGCCCGTTGGTTTGGGTTTACGTGGGGCTCAACACACAGCCCCCGGCCACATGCGGCCCACAGCCCGTTGGTTTGGGTTTACGTGGGGCTCAACACACAGCCCCCGGCCACATGCGGCCCACAGCCCGTTGGTTTGGGTTTACGTGGGGTTTGACACGCGACCCCCGGCCACATGCGGCCCACAGCCCATTGGTTTGGGTTTACGTGGGGCTCGACACACGACCCCCGGCCACATGCGGCCCACAGCCCGTTGGTTTGGGTTTATGTGGGGCTCGATACACGGCCCCCGCAGCCCGTTGGTTTGCAGCCCGCAGTGCAGTTTGGGTTTATGTGGGGCTCGATACACGGCCCCCGCAGCCCGTTGGTTTGCAGCCCGCAGTGCAGTTTGGGTTTATGTGGGGCTCGATACACGGCCCCCGCAGCCCGTTGGTTTGCAGCCCGCAGTGCAGTTTGGGTTTATGTGGGGCTCGATACACGGCCCCCGCAGCCCGTTGGTTTGCAGCCCGCAGTGCAGTTTGGGTTTATGTGGGGCTCAACACGCGGCCCCCGGGTGGGAGCCAAAACGAAAAAGGAGTCAATAGAACGGGCGTCCGTCGAGCTGCGCGTTAGTAGTTCCATTCCCGGGCTGTCATTGCTCATTGAAAGTGCTGCCGTGTGGGTGGGAATCGGGTAGATGTTGCATTGGATTAATAGCAGCAGAGCTGACTCAAATGGGGCCTGCGTGTTGTGTATTCAGGCCTGTCAGTGTGACAGAATCCATTTGCATATATTTGCATATCTATTTACATGTCTATGCAGCCACGCTTAAGTTGCGGCCCACGGCATGTGCTGTGAGTAGCCCCGTGGCCCCTGGGGCTTCCCAAGCTGCTCTAACGCTTTGTTCTCCTCTCGTGTCCAAGGTGTCCTTCATGTCCGAGCCAGAGAAGGCGTTTGGGGAAAGTGGGAAAACACAAGTGCTAGAGAAGACGGCAGCTCTGATGTGGATGACAAGGAGGCCTGCGGAGACACGCACGCGGCGAGCGATTCCTAGACCCTGCATGCCTCTATTGCTCTATGCAGACTGTTACCTGACCTGCGTGCACGTATAGTAACACACGCAGTCCGTACCAAGGCTGTAGAAACAGACCCCTTCCCATTGACACATTATTCTGAAACTGTCGTCTATCTTCCGCTGGCAAGATGGTCCTATTGACTGAGTGAATTCTGGGCACTGCAGTCTGCTGCATCGATGCCTCTCTTCAGAGTGGAGTGTGTACAGCAGCAAAGCCGAGGCATCTGTGTGGACAGCGCTTGTCAATCCCTCTGCCAAGAAACGAAGGGAGTGAGCTGCACGCAGAGCGGTGGGACTCTCCCTGTGTTAGGACCCTTGGCCGGCCAGTCTAGATCATCAACTCGCTGATTTTTGGTAGAGGAAACCAGCTTGTGATTTGATCAGCCACAACTTCTGCAATAGCAGCAGCTTTTTGTGAACGGACGAGGTGGCTGGTGTCCCAGGAGCTAGGACGGTGCTGGAGAGTCGTGTGTGCTGCCTGTTACCAGGCTGGTCCATGCCCACAGGCTGTGCTAGAAGTAGAAAGGAAATAGGGAAGTTCTAACCCGATATGTTTTGTTTACTTAGGGCTGTACATTAATTCACTTTAAAACCTCCACCTGGCCTCTGGTGAGGGGGACTGAACCGTCCGTCTGTTGCAAGCGGCTCTTGAAGTTGCACTGTGCGCCGAGCGAATCGCTGAGTTCTGTCCCGTGAGGACGTGTTTCCGAGAGAGCCTGGAGGCGGATTGTGCTTTTCTCTCATCATATGCCCTGCAGTGTTCGTGGGGCTTTATCCCAAGCCCACACAAGTCAAGCAGCGGCTCTCCCTGGCTCTGCGGTCCGTGCAGCGGGTTGTGAGGCTCCGGGGTGGAGCAGTCTGCAGCACAGTTCGATCTGGTGGATTAACGGTTCAGTTTTGCTTTCCCTCGGCGCCTTTGCCAACAGCACCAGGCACGGTGAGATGTGTGTTGCCCCCGCCCCATGTGGTGAGTTCACTGTCCTGTTTCTCCTTTTCAACGTTCCCCTTTCCCTGCCATGCTCCTGGAGTTGCAGGATGAGCGGTGCAGCCCGCTGCCGGAGTTGCAGGCGCTGCAGGGCGCTGATGCTGGTTTGGTGGCTGCGGGGCTCTTGAAGGTGAGGCAGAGAAGCTGCCAGGATGTTAGGGGCCCACCTGATGGTGTCTCTTGGTGCAATACTTTCGCTGCCAAGCTGCTTTTGCCTTTACACAGATACTGCTTGAATCACGCCTTGTATTTGTGCCTGGTGCGTTATACAAATAAAATTACTTTTCTAGTCTTCCAAAAACCCTTTTACGAGGATCCGTGGTGGCAGTTAACTGCCTCTTGCTGGCTCCGTTTCCCAGTCTTGGTGCCCTTCCACAGCTCCTACCCGCTTCTCTTCCCCTCTCAGTCCTTCCCTTCCCCCGGCACACATCCAAGTCCTGTATCCACCGCGTCCCCCCTCTCGCCTCACACCCAGCCCCTCCCGCCCGCTGGCTCTGGAGCGCCCACGCCACCTCGGAAGAGACTTGCCCTTGCCCCTTGCTCCCTCCAGCTCCTGCCCTGGCTTGGAGGCCAAGATCCCTTTGTCTGACGAGGCCTCTGCTGCTGCCCTCTGGGGGGTCGTCTCCTCCTTCGCTGCCCGGCATAGACCCGGGTGGGCGTTGGACTTCTCAGCTCCTGTTCCTGCCCCTTTGCCTTGTGTGACGTAGTGGGGGTACTTGCTGGGCTGTGGTGACCCCTGCTGTCTGGAGCAAGACCCAGCAGGGAAAACCTCACTAGGCAGAGGTAAGGCCAAACTGGTTGAACCAGTGGCCAGACACCCCCCATGGAGAGGAACAAAGGAAGGTGGAATGCTGCCCTGACTGGGGGGGCAGGGCTGCAAGGGAATTTAGTGAGTTGGTTGGTGGCTGTCTGTGAGGATGGATGAGACAGCCTAGGAGAAGGGGCTGGAGTTTAGGGGCCCAGTCTCCCTCATCTCAAGGGGGCCTGAGGCATCCTAGCCCAGTTCCTGTAACCAGATTACATCTGTGCTGCGCTGTGCTGGAGGAGCAATAAACCGCCCTCAATTCCACTGGCTGGTACAGTCTGTTTGTGCCATTTCGGGGTGCAGGAGACGGGGAACCCCCAACGTGCCGTCACACCTCGGTTTTGCCCAGGCCCTCCAAGCAGCCTCTGTTGCCACGGAGGGACGCGCCCCCATGGGACAGGGAGCAGAGTGGAGCAGGCTGGGGCCAGCTCAGTCTGCTTCCTGCCGCCCAGGCGAAGCAGAGCAGCCTGGCTGGGAGATGCTGGTCTCTCTTCTTCCCCTTCTTCCCCTTCCTGGCTCTGTTGTCCCATTCTTGGTCCCTAACTGTGGGGGAGGGAGCCTGACCCCTGTGCACGCCCACCCCACCCCCGGTAATCCCTGGGTGGCATTGCTGGGGGGTGCCTTGGGGGTGGGAGCAGAGCAGTGGCAGGAGGCGGCGGGATGGGTTACCCCCGGACTTGCACCCCCGAGGGCGGCCCTGGCAGCACATCCGGAAGCACAGCAGATGTGGGAAAAGGGCGAGTTCTCGTCCTCCTTTCCCCTTCGAGATTCCTGCTCCGCCGCTGCCCTTGCCTTTCCTCACGGGCCTGCGTTCCCTGCGGCCGGCCGGGCGCTCTGCCGCGGGCCTGCGTTCCCTGTCTGATTGAAACCCTCAACCCTGATTGAAGACTTGCCTCCTGTCTGGCTCGCCCCTCCCTTCCGGTCTGGGGGTGCCCCTCGTCACTGCCACATTGCGGCATCCAGTGCTGGCAGCGCAGGGCCCTCCGTGCGGGACTCCCTGTACCCGGCCGCCGGAAATGCCCATCGCCCTGCGACTTTGCAGGGAGCCCCCGGCCTACGATTTTCGTTCTGTTTTAGCTACTTGAGAGCGCTTTGCTCGTCGCCCTGTTTTACTTAAAGGCCCCAGACCTGCAATCACCTAGCCGCCGTCTCCGTACTTAGTGAACTTGTGTGATAACCCGACACTAATCCCGCGCTTGGCCCGAGCTCTTCGGCAGCCGGTTGTGGTAGCAAACTGCTGAGTCCTGGCCCTTTGCAGGGAATGGAGCTTTAATAGCTGAACTGTCCGAGGGCTGGAGCGTGCAGAAGCGTCCGGCCGAGGGACTAGGACCCAGTGGGCCCAGCAGGACCCGCTGCCATAATAGCAGGAGCAGGTAGCACGTACCTTGTTGCATGCAGGGCTGGGTGAGCAGTGCAGTGACGGGTCTGGTCACTGGGACCCCTTGTGACCCTCACTGGATGGCTGAAATGCCACCAAGCCCACCTCCCGGCCCTCCTGGGTGCCCCTCACCCCTCTGTCCTGCCCATCCAGGCCCGCCAGCCTCCCCACCCTGCCACAGATGGGGCCCAGCCTCTGCAGTCTCACACGGACGCTGAGATTGGTTCCACCACAGGGACTGGCCTTGGCACCTAAGGGCACAGCCTCAGTGAGACCTGAGCCCCCGAGAAATCCACCTCGCCCTGGGCAGCACTTCCTACAAGGTGAGCTCCCGTTCGCCTCTTTCTCAGGCTAAAGAGATGCACAGACCCTCTATCCCCCTCCTCGGTAACAATTGCTCACACGGGGTTTGTTAACAAAAGGGATTTTATTAAGTACAAAAGTAGGGTGGAAGTAGCTGTGACGGTTAGAACAATGCAGGGTTACTAGCGAAAATAAACCACAACGTGCCAGCGAAGCTTCATACATTAAGAAACTGGTTACATGGGGTGGTGCAGTGGGGGGCTGTCTACTCTGTGACCCGGGTCCCCCTGCGCTGGGATGGGAGATTCTCACTGACTCTCCCAAATGTGGATTAACCCAGACACCCAGGCTCAGCCTCCCAGGGAGGGGGGCGGAGACCAGCACCTGGCTGGGGGGCAGGGCTGGAAGAGAGGTTTTTAGTTTGTCTGGGATCATGGAGGAGGCAGCTTAAGCAAGGGGCTGGGATTTAGGGGCCCAGGCTCCCCCCTCTCAAGGGGGGCTGAGGCATCCTAGGCCTGCCCTGGAACCAGATTCCATCTGTGCTGTGCTGTGCTGTATCCTGGAGAAGCAATAAACTCCCCTGTTCTACTGGCTGGCGGAGTCTGTTCGTGCCACTACGGGGGGGCAGGAGACGGGGGCCCCCGACACGCCACCACACATGGAATCCTGCACCCCCAGTTATTCTGAGAAGCTGCATTACAGACCGGACAGCCTCCCAGGCTGGGCTCAGTCCTCCCCCTGGCCAGTCTCGGATGTTTCCAGCAGCCATCCTGAGTGGTCAGCAGGGGTGCCTGATGACTGACAGCCACCCCTGTTTGGTCTCCCGCCTTTACACGGGACAGGCAAAGGCGGGAATCCTTTGTGCTCGGTTAAACCTTCTCTCACTCTCCATGGAAAAGTGCAACCTCCAAGATGGGGCTTCGCATCAGCTGACTTGGCTACATGTCTTGGTAGGACCCACCACAGCCCCTGAGCCCAGGCTTCCAGGAAAAACCTGTCTATTCACAGATCATCGGCCTGAGTACTGGGCCATTAAGTCCCTTGACTGCCCTCGTAGCACAGGTTTACATCGAAGTTCAAATGCAGCCCTGATCCATGCGCACACACGGCCAGCCAGTCAGTGGATTATACGGTTTCCAGCGCTACCTCTGTGCCGTAGCGGGGGCTGTCCACGCTTGTGGCCCTGGATCCATTCTGCTTTGGAATCTAAGCGCATGGAATAAAAATGCCAGAAACGAGCTGGGGGCAGGTGCCCGGGGAGTCGCCGGGCAGGGCGGAAGTGGATTTATAGAATAGCCCTGGACCAGGCTCTCGCTCATGCTGAGCCGAACTTCCCCCACACAGGTGGCCTGGGAGTTTAGTAACCAAGGAGTGTGGCTGGCAGCTGGCGGGTGCTAGAGCCGCTGGCCCAGGACTTGGCCCCTCAGAGATGCTTAGGCTGGGAGCTACCACAGTGAAGCTTCGAGGCACCCAAGACTGCGGGGCAGGTGAACAATCAGGCCCCTCACTGGACCAGGCTGCACCCTGGAGTGCGACGTTGGGCTCTGGAGAAAGCCATGAAATGACCCCGGTCCCGAGTCAGTCGCGGCCCCGCTTGTCCGGCGGGCTGCGCAGTTACAGGGCACTTGACAGACGCGGGGAGGGCTAAGGGCTTCCGAGAGCATCCCCTGGAGCCGGAGGTGCGGCCGATGGAGACTTTGGTCAGACTCCTGCACACCGTGTCCTGCGCTCCACAGCAGAGGGAGGTGTCCTCGCTCTGGCACGGTCACATGCCTGCGGGGCTGGCCGCGTCTACGTGCCCGGCTTGGCCAGAGCCAGCCTGCCCGGAGTCTGAGGTCTGCCTGGGGCAGGTGGCGAATGGAGACCGAGGCTCCCTGCATTGGGCTGTTCCCAAAGCCTGGCGCCTGCCCTGAAACCCTGATCCAGAAAGGCCTCCACGCTGGCAGGAGTCCGCACGTGCCCTTGAATGCCTCCTGGCGATGGAGCCACGGCTGACGGGGCAGTGGGACGTTTCTCCAGGCCGTGGCGGCGGCCGAGTGTCCAAACTGGGTGCCGTAGGAAGGGGCCGAGCCCGGCGTTCCCTGGCGATTCGTCACCGGGGTAGCGAACGCTCGCAGGGAAGCAGCCCCGCGGGTCAGCGTGTGGGGATGCGGCTCGGAGCGGGGGGAGGCCGGGCCAGGACCCAGTTAGCAGCCCTCCCAGTTAGCATGCTGGGCTGGGCTCCCCCAGGGAGCCAGGGTCCGTCTGCAGGGCCCAGCCTGGTTCTCAGCCTGGAGGGCAGCAGCGTGTTCCCGGGGGGCAGCGGAGGGCCCAGCAGGGCCCATGCTCCGGTCAGGTGCAGCAGCCCGTCCTGCAAGACTCGGGGCTGAGCCCAGAGCAGGGTCGGGCACAAGAGTCGCACCCTGGGCCAAGGCCGCGTCGGGCGGGAAGCCAGAGCCGGCAGCGGGGGGAGGGAGCTTGTGAGGAGCCAGGGCGGGGGGCTGCTGGCTGTCCCTGACCAGCCACCTCGGGGCGGGGTGTTAGCGCCGCTTTCCCCGCCTCGCCGCAGGCTGGCGCAAGAAGTAGGGCCCTTGCCTGGCACACGCCTGGACCCGGGTTCGAGGCCTGCGGTTCCCGAGAGTGGGCAGGAGCATAGCAAGGTCAATGCCCGAGGGGGCTGGAGGGGGGTGGGGTGGAAAGGCTGGAGAGACCAACTGAGGAGGGGGCCTGGGCGCCTGAGGGGGCGGTGAG